TTATTTATTTATTTATTTATTTATTTATTTATTTATTTGTTTGTTTGTTTGTTTGTTTGTTTGATTGATTGATTGATTGATTGATTGATTGATATCCCGCCCATCTGGTCTGGTCGACCACTCATCGAAGCTATCAACATGAATTTGACCAAACTACAGGAGGCAGTGCAAGACGGGAGGGCCTGGTGTGCTCTGGTCCATGGGGTCACAAAGAGTCGGACACGACTTAACAACTAAACAACAACAATAGAGCTTTCAAGGTAAGTGAGAGATTTAAGGAGCAGTTTTAACAATTCCACTCTTTCAATGAGTTTCCATGGGCAAGTAGGGATTCAGACCCTGCTCTCCAGAGTCATAGTTCATTATTCTATCCACTACACCACACTGGGATAAGACACAAAGACAAGATAGGAGAAATATAACCCTCCCCCTTCTACTGAACCGCACTTCTTATAACCACTCACCAATGGCTATGCAGATGATAGCTAAGGGCAGGAGCAGTTCAGAAGCATCTGAAAATGTCAGTTTCCCACCCATGCTTTAAAAGTGCAACTTCTCCTACCAATCACAGCACCTTGGAACTTTAGCATACAGTTATATATGCCAACCTTTTGTTGACAGAGCCATTTCTGAGCGCAAATCAGCAAAAGACCATCTGCTCTTTCAGCTTCACCCAAGGCTGTCAACATTTCACAGAAATACCAGCAAGCAAACTTTCATGGACATGAAAGTTAAAAATGTAAACATACTGGACTGCAAAATCTCCAAACTGTGTATTCTGGAGTAGTCTGTCTAAAATGCACAGCTTTACTCCAAGTAAACAGATTACGGATTATTGCTCTATAATGCTATGCTTGGCATAACTAGTCTTATTATTGCTTGCACAGGTCTTTGTGTGCTCAATGCTACACAAACAGATAGAAAAACAAGGTCTTTGCCACTGAGTGTTGCAGTAGAGTACGGAAGCCTTCAAGATGTAGATCCTAGTTTACCCAACAGGGCTTGAGAGTCCCCAGGACTGAAAGCAGAACAAATCTATCCATTCTAAAGGAAACCACCCCTGAGTGCTCACTGGAAAGACAAATCCTGAAGCTGAGGTTCCAATACTTCGGCCATCTCAGGAGAAGAGAAGACTCCCTGCAAAAGACCCTGATATTGGGAAAGTGTGAAGGCAAGAGGAGAAGGGGATGACAGAGGACGAGATGGATGGACAGTGTCATCGAAGCGACCAACATGAATTTGGCCCAACTGCGGGAGGCAGTGGAAGACAGGAGGGCCTGGAGTGCTCTGGTCCATGGGGTCACGAAGAGTCGGACACGACTAAACGACTAAACAACAACGACAAAGTCTCTTGGATACCTAATGTAGTGTAATGGATAGAGTGATGGACGAGGACAGGAGCCCTGGTTTCGAACCCCTACTCAGCCACAGAAACTTACTGGGGGTGTAGAACTGATAAAGCCCCTCCTTAAATATCTCATTTACATTCAGAGTGGTCTTAACCGACTAGATAGGCAGGATATAAATAAAATAAATAAAAATAAATAAATAAAAGCCCTATTAGGGTCACTATAAATTAGTTCCAATGTAACAACAACTTAAGTCTCTACAAACATCACAGATTGTCAAGATGGTAGTCAGTTTCTGTTTAAGGTTATTATCCTATGAACACGAGCACTGATTTTTCTGAATGCATACTGTTTACTTCATCATCTTCTGACCTCACATAGTTCTTTAAAAAAGGCTGGATGAATTTCTGTAGTAAACACATTTGTTACTGCTTCTTAGGAATGTGCCATATCGTCTGCAGAACGCAACTAAAGAACCAAGAATTTTGTCTAAGTACTAATAATTTGGCACCAGTACAACACAATAGTGAAATTTCACTGACTTCTGGTTTAACTGTTATGGTCGTATTAAACTTTTGGTGTTTATATGTAACATGTTTGGTTGTAGGAGCTGATGATGAAGGAGAAAGACTGAGAAATGACATTTCTGAAAGGATTGAACAGCATTTTCTTGACAGCTCATTGATTTGTAGACATAGTTGAATAAACACTAAGCTTATGTTTTCATAGAAAGCAAGCCACAATGATTTCAATAACTCATTTTCCAGTACTTGTATTTCAAAGAATCAGACTCTCAGGAGAGCTTATACTGCCATCTTCTGGAAACAAAAAACTCAAACTTTTCACGTAGAAATTGACAGAATTAAGAATGTTTTTTGTTACTTCTCTCAAAATAACTAACATATTTTCTGTGTATAAGACACCCCCATGTATAAAATGCCCCCCACTTTTCTAAATTAAAATTTCTTACTTTGCAAGAAAGTGGAGGGGGAATGTTCCTGCTTTCCCTCTACATTTTCTTTGCAAAAAGCAGCTTTCCCCCTCCAGGTTTTGCAAAGAAAAAGGAGGGGTAAAGTGATTTATGCTTTCTCACTACATTTTTGTTGCAAAAAGCATCATTTCCCCTTCAGGTTTTGCAAAGAAAATGCAGGGGGAAAGCAATTTCTTCTTTCCCCCTACATTTTCGTTGCAAACGTTTTGCAATGAAAATGGAGGGGGAAAGTAGCAATCTCTTTCCCCCTCCATTTTCTTTGCAAAACCTGGAGGGGGAAAGCTGCTTTTTGCATTGAAAATGGGGGGGGGGAAGCAGAAATTGCTTTCCCCCTGGATTTTCTTTGCAAAACATGGAGGGATGGCTGCTTTTTGCAACAAAAATGTAGATGGAAAGTAGGAATTGCTTTCCCACTCCATTTTCTGTGCAAAACGTGGAGGGGAAAACAAGGATCAAAGCACTTTGATCCCTCTCCCCTTACTTCCAAGTATAAAGCAACCCTCAAATTTTCCTTTAATTATTTTAGGAAAAAGTGCCATTTTATACACGGAAAAATACAGTATCTAAAAATCTGGATATAAACAGGAGTAGTAAGAATAAACATGCAAAAATAACTGCAGTTCCTACTCACGTGGTATCAATGCCAAACGTTTCTGCTGTGAACCACTTGTTGCAAATCCCACACTGCAGCTCAATTTCCCCTAGCTGTCGGCCATTCTCCTCATCAACTGACCCAGTCTGATTATCCATCGCTTCCGAACTATCCCCAACACCCTCCTATAAGAACATGAGCACAGACGTACAAGTTCAAGAAACGACTGTGGACAAACCTGTACTAGAAAGTTTTCCTTTTTTTTTTTTTTTTGGTTCATTACTACCAGAACATCAAGGCCATACTGACTGCAAGATTCTGAGAGTCCCAGGTGCTCTGAGCTATCCAGCCAAACTAAAAACTATGGAGATCTTGAAATGGCCACATGGCATTTTCTTTCTTCTTTTATCCACGGAAGAGCCCTGTGTGGTAGGTTAGACTTGACCTAAGACTGCTGAGTGAATACCGTGGCTAAGATTGCTTCAGTCCAGTCCTAGTCCAACATTTCAGCTCTTCCACCTTAACAGCTTTTGCTATGTCAGTTTTCCCACAATGCAAAGAGCACAATACTTTTAAAACCAAAATGTACACGTAATATATGGTATATTTTGTATAATGTATCTTCCTGGTCACTGACCATTACTACTACTAACTACTACTAACTACTACTACTAACTACTAACTACTACTACTGTTATTGTTGTTGCTACTGCTGCTGTTATTGTTGTTATTATTGTTGTTGTTGCTGTTGTTGTTATTATTATCATTATCATTATCATTATCATCATCATCATCATCACCATCATCATCATCATCATCATATGCCCAAACAAAATTTTCCTCTTCTGCAGGTCCAAGTATACTCCGGTCTAGATGGGCGGGGTATAAATATAATAAATAAAAAAAAATAAAAAATTTAAATGTGGTGGCCAGACTGATCACTGGTACTAGCAGATTTGAACATATTCCCCCAGTTCTAGCATGCCTTCATTGGCTCCCTGATGGTTTCCATGCAAAATTCAAGGCTCCAGTTATTGCCTTTCCAACCCTTAACAGTTTAGGACCTCAATACTTGACAGAGCATCTGTCGTATAAAACAGCTACCCATCCCACCTGCTCTTCACAATTCATGATGTTAAGAACAGTGACCCTAAAAGAGCCAAAAGAGTAAGTAAGCATAAGAAACCCTACTCTCTCAGAGGTTGCCTTGTCTCTTTAGAATAAACATCCGTAAGTTCAACAGGGTCCTTCCCTCCTTCTAAGTTTTTAAGAAATGAGTGAAAGCTAAATTTTAGCTTTTTTTTATTTAGCATTTTTTTATTAATGTTGACCTGGGACTGTAAGTGGTTTAACTGTTTTTTTTTTTTTAAGTTGGGTTTGCTTGTGTCCAGGAATACATAACTATTTGTTGGTATCAACTGTATGTTTCTGTTGTACTGGATATTATTTGACTGATTTTACTGTTGTAAACCACTCAGAGAATGGTACTCACTATGGGACGGTATACAACTTAAATAAATCAATAACTTTAGTAAAAAAAAGTGATATTTTTCATTTGTCAATATGCCAGTTCCATAATCTATAGACAAGTGACCAAATTTCACACTAGGACACTGTTGCCAGAGTTAAGAGACAGAGATCTTGGCAGGTGGTTTAATAATAATTATGGAACACATTACAATGGAAATCGCTGACTGAAACCCACTTTACCCCCAACAGGCTATTAGGCATGCTGAGTGGCGGGATTCTGGGATCTGTAGTCTAGAAAATAACTTTTCCATGTAAGTAAAGGCTGCCTCCCAACTGCCAAAAAGTAGAAACAGTGCCTTTCATTCACAGAGCATAGGGATGTCTAAAGTGCCTGTGATATCCCAGAAGACTAAATTCAGTTCACATACCAACACATCCTTGCCGCTGGATGATTCTGTCTCCATCGTAGCTGTGACATCGGCCAACGATGCATCCCCCCTGAAAGGCACAAGAATTCAAAATCAGTCTTTCAACGCTTGTTGGATGTTTACATGTGTTCCTGTTAAGTACAGAAACACATATGCACTATTAATTCAAGCACTGTGTCATCTTCAAACCTGTTTTTATGTAAGATGATTCCAGAAGCTTATGTATTGTTGTTGACAATCTACACTTGTTTTACCTTGTAAATGAATGCTGTTTTCACTATTCTGTATCCATTGTAAACATCCCCAAGAGAATGGCTGAATTAAATTTACACATTTAAAATATTCAAGTACTTATTTTAAATGTATAGATTAAATAAAAAATCTGCCTTTTTCACATTATAAACTCATGTGTGTGTGCATTTGTGTGTGCAGTAAACAGATTAAATAAAAAATCTGCCTTTTTCACATTATAAACTCATGTGTGTGTGCATTTGTGTGTGCACGCACTCTGCTTCACACCAAATAAGACAGTATTTGTACACGTCACATCCTAGCTCAATACTCTTGAAAGGCAGTGGCTATCTGCCACCTCAGTCCCGAAATCATTCAGATCATCTGGTAATATGCCCTTTTAACTGGTGAAGGGATCCAGTTAATACATACAATATATATGTATATATGTGTGTGTCTGTGTGTGTGTGTGTCTTAGCCTGACCGTAGCCATCATTCTGTTTTGCTGCATGATTAGGTTTTTGCTTATTAGACAGGAATAGATAAAGAAGGGAGGTCACCTGCATTCAGTTACTTGTAAGTAACTGGTCTAATTAAATTTCTGTCCTTGGGAAGCAGGGTGCTAGACAAGGAGAAATGATTTCCTGTTCAAAGCTGGGTTCATGCAGGAATGTGTACCAATTATAGAAACCCCTCCCATTTCTCCACCTCCTCCCAAACCCTTTGGCCCCTCTTTCATGTTATGCCTTATAAAAATGTATACTTTTGTATTGAGGCATGCGCCTTTTCTCTGCATGTTTTCTTTGTGTGAAGTTTGCACCTATTTTGCTTACTTTCAGCTGAAAATAAACAAATATCTATTGGATCTCTCTGTCTCTGGCTAATTCATTATGTATTGGGGGATGCGCTTCTTCTCTGCATGTTTTCTTTGTGTGAAGTTTGCACCTATTTTGCTTACTTTCAGCTGAAAATAAACAAACATCTATTGGATCTCTCTGTCTCTGGCTAATTCATTAATGTGTTAGAGACAGGAAAAACCCAGGAATTAGTCCTGTGCCGTTCATCTTGGGACTCTTTATTGGAAATGCCAGGCACTGAACCCGGCTCAGTGTAGAGCTAACGAGACTTAGGCATACAGTACTACTTTTCCATGTTCCAAAGCTTTGCCCATTGACTTTCACTGAAAAGTGTGTGCCAAACAAAGCACTTTGCTCATCAGTCTTCTCCTTGTACTTTGCAACTGGTGTTCCAAAGACCAAGCTGGGGTTTCCTTCAGTGCTTGTACATTACTTGGAATGAGTACAGGATGAGATTTAAGGAAACAGCCTTTCCCCGTTCTGGTGCTGGTTGACACTAATATGAGTTGTACTCCCAAACACCTGATGGACATGCTACTGAGAAGGATGGGGACTGTATGACCCTCCAGATGTTCACAGACTGCATATGGTAACAGTGGTAAGGTAAAGGTTCCCCTTGACATTTAGTCCCGTCGTGTCCGACTCTAGGGCGTGGTGCTCATCTCCATTTCCAAGCCGTAGAGCCAGTGTTTGTCCAAAGACATTTTCCACAGTCATATGGCTAGCGTGACTAGACACAGAACGCCGTGATCTTCCCACTGAGGTGGTACCTATTTATCTACTCACATTTTAACATATTTTCGAACTACTAAATTGGCAGGAGCTGGGAGAAGCAACAGGAGCTCACTCCAATGCGTGGATTCAATCTTAGGACTGCTGGTCTTCTGAAACTGCAGCACAGAGGCTTCTGCCTTTTAACCCGCGGCGCCACCACATCCCTACCACACCATAACTAAGATGAGAGCAGCAACTGTTCATAAACATCTGTAAGGCCACACACTGCCCACCCGTGACACTGGGGGTGGCTGGCCCAGCATCTGGTATCTTTAAATAAACGTATCTACTAAAACTATAATATACATGTAACAATGGGCTCAAACTACAGGAAGTCAGATTTAGGCTGAATATCAGGGAAAACGTAATTGTTAGAGCAGTACAAGGGAATCCATGGTGAGCGCTCCAGCGCTGGAGCAATTCAAGAGGAAATCCGAAGACTATCTGTCAGATCAGCTTGGATCTAGATTCCTGCCTTGGGGGTGGGGGTGGGGGGTCTGTCAGCCTTTGAGGCCCCGTCCAGCTGCGGCCCTATAACCCTTACGGACTGAGGTCGAGATCAATACAGGGGAGCAGAGGGTGCTGCCCTCGACCAGCCTCAGCCTGAGTCCACTTCCCTCAGGTTTTTACTTTCTCGGGACGTCCCGGATCAACCAGGCACAGATCTTCGACCCGGCTGCCCAGGCCACCGCATGCTTTCCACCAGGACCCGCCTGGGTACCAAGCACGCACTTTTGGGGCCTGAGTTAATACCCTCGTCTCCGGCAGCCCAGGATGCAAAGAAACACAGGGCGTGCGCGTGCGCGTGTGTGGGAGAAGTGGGGGGGGGAGAGAAAACGAGCCTAAAAACTGGGCTGTAAACGGCCAAGCGGGCGCTGGGCGGATTCGGAGGAAGAGAAGGGCAGGCCGGGGGGGGGGGGTCAGAGCAGCGAGAACAGCCTTTCCACACACCCCCACCACACACACACACGACCTACAGGCCCGGGGGACGTGTTGGACTACAAGACCCAGCATCCCCAGCCGCGCCGGCCAGGGAAGAGACCCATTCTGGGGGGCCCACCCACGGGCAAAACTGCCCGCCACGGTCGGGGGGCGGGAAGAGAGAGAAGAAGGCGGGCGGACCCGAGGGGGGACCAAACGCCGAGATTCCGGCCAATCAGAGGCCGAGCGGAGGGCTCCAGCCAATGGGAGGAGGAGGCGGCGGGAGGGCAAGCGGCCCACAGGGGAGGGGGCGGAGGGGCCGGCGGGCCCTTCCCTTCCCTCCATCCCTCCCTCGCGGCCCCGTCTCTAGGCCTCACCCAGTTTCCGAGTCCCCGGCCCCCTGTTCGGGAGCCCCCGAGGCTTCCACGGCCATCTCTTCCGCGGCCCCCGGTGGAGTCGCCTCGCCTTCGCCCGTTTCTTCGGGCGCCGAGGCAGCTCCTCCTCCCTCCGCCGCCATCTTCCGCTGGAACCCACCTCTCGCGGGACGACCCGGGCCAACTCTCGCGATACATTTGCCTCGCTTCTCGCCGTCGAGTCTTTCCTTAAAGGGGCAACGGCCCTCGATCGCTGGCCTTAAAAGGGCGACGGCTAGCGTTGTGGTCCCCAGAAGTCATACTTCTTGTTACATTCCCTCAAGTTGGCCCCAGCCCATGGCGATCCTATACATGCGCAATCTCCAAATATCCTGTTCTCGACAGCCCTGCTCAGCTCTTGCGAACTCAAGCCTGTGGGTTTCTTTAGGGAGCCGGCCCTTCTTGTATTTGGTCTACCTTTTTCCTGTTGCCTTCCACCTTTCCCAACATTATTGTCTTTCCTAGAGAATCCTGCCTTCTCACGATGTGCAGAAAGTAGGATAACTACAGTTTCATAGGTTTTACCTCCAAAGATAGTTCGAGCTTGATTTGCTCTGGAACCCACTCGTTTATCTTTCTGGCAGTCCAGTTATAAAGAGGGGCAGGGGTGAGGTTTACTTCTTACAGGAACTGGAATGAAATGTGAAAGGAGGGTCCAGCATCCTTCAACATCTAGAGCAGATGTACTACAGTGACAAAGACTAAAAATCCTATCCCAATATAGCTCCTACTACTGAGCAGACAGGTTTGCACTATATGAGATTGTGCCCTAAATGTGCAAACCCCCCCCACTTGTCGGTTTTATAGGATCATAGTGTGATTTAGATACCTTGTTTCAAGTCTTGTTTTATGTCATGCAAAAAAATAAACAAGCCTTGTGATCTTTGTACAAAACCAACAAAAATGAGGTGGGTGGTACGTTTATTGGACCACTAAAATGTTAAGAACAAATCAGCTTCTGAGGCCAGGAAGACTCGAAACAGGATGATACTTCACCATAAAGAAAGGTGCTGCTCAACTCGAATGCTTGCCTGAACTGAATATTTTAGTAGTGCAAAACGATATTACCAACCTGTGCTTTTTAATTCCTGAAATTACTGTCTTCAGCAATGCATATTCTCTCTAAGTCTTAATTCCCTGATCTGATTGGGAGCTATACAACACTGATTTTTCCCGCAAGACTGCATTGCATGCATGTCAAATGCTTTGAAACCTTGAAAGTACTGTACAGTACAACATTTTAAGTATTTTGCTCATCCATCATGTGTTATTAAATAAAATAAACTATCCCATTACTTCATTATAATAAAACATACTGTATTCAGAACTTGGAAAAGTTCAGTTTTGGAATTACAGACTGTGTCATTCTCATGTTCCTTAACTTGAAGGAACAACTGAGAATGCCAGGACTACAGTGGGGAAAGAAATGGATGGAAGTCCATGAAAATCTGACACACACACACACACACACCCAGCCACACAGAGGACTGCATTACTTGGGAGTAACTTAATTGGCTGTGGACTGGAGTTGGCAGAATCAAGGTGAACCCAAGAAAATGGGGTTTCCCAACCCACAGAGTCATTTGTGAGCATATGGGGAGAAATAGGCAACTTCATACCTAGGTCAGGGGACTTTTATGCTCCTCAATATGTTCCATAGAAGATCTGAAGTCATCTGACCCAAAGGCTGTTGATGTTGCCTATTGTTGGGTGGAAATTATCTAATATATTAATTACTTTTACTGTGATGCTCCAGACACAAACAAGAAATATCTGTTTTAAGAAAAAAAGGCTAATGGAGGGGAGAGTGGAAGTTTCATTGCCTCCCTTAAAAATTATCACCATGCTGACCTGTTCTGACTGTGAAAGCAAAGCAAGGCTCAGTCTGGCTAGTATTTGGATCAGAGAATGCCAGGAGATGCTGGGATGTTCTGATGGGTCTAGGAAGGGATCCTGCCCATGGGAACATACAGAACTGCTACCAGTGAGGGTTAACAATATTTCTGTCTTCTCATCCTCTCATCCTCCAGTGCTACTCAGCCTTCATCTTTCTTTCCTTTCCCCATCTCCTGCATCTCAGTCTTCATACCCTTGAACCTCCACATTGCATTTGTTTTCAACAACAATGTGATGCCTGTAGCTCTTTGAAAATTGCAACTTTTAATAAATTCAGGTTGTTAAAGCATGATCTTTTGAATGGACAAAAGTGGTAACCATTTCCAATGAAGAATGCTTCGGGCATTGCTAACTTATTTCATGTTGCTTTGCCTTTAACAATTTGCAAAATCTAAGAGGGTTTTGTTTTTCAATTTGTGGATTCTTCCCCCCCCCCCAAAAAAAAATTGCACACAGATATGGTATCAAAATGAGAAGATACACTTTCCAAGATGTAGAATGCATTGATTCTGAAATAAAAATTAAAAAGTTTTTTCTAGACCACAAGAAAGGAACTTGGTGATTATCTTACTAAGACCATTCATAGTTGGTAGTTTTTGAAGATGTAGCCATGTTAGTCTTTGCAAGCATATGAGACAAAAAATAAAAACACATTTTGTCTGTTGTGTTTTTTTGGTTGTTGGTTTTGCTTTTTTTGCTTTTTTCTTTTAGTAGGAATTTTCAGTCATTAAGAAGGTATGCTTAGTCTCTTCAGTCCGGAGCAGACAGCATTTCCTCTGATGTTATGTCTTGGAATGTACTGTAATTGCCAAAACAATTGATGAGACAAAACCATGCATTTCACTTCATGATTTACTAAGCCTTCCAAGATTTCCTTTAAATTTCCCTATCTCAGTAAAATACTACCCTTAAAAAAACACACCACATGGTTCAGGGTAAAATGAAGCAAAATGCATGTATTCCTTTATTTAACAGCTAGCATTTATCATACAATATCAGAACTGTTATTTCCAAGATTGGATTTTCATCATCAAAGCAACTTTGTTTTCATTCACCTGTGAAGTCTTCCTTTGAAGTGACTGGAAATCCCCATTATTTTTAGTTGGGACAAAAGACCTCTTTGAAGTTATAAAGCATTTAACAGTTAAGGTGCATTGAAACAATGTTCAATGGCCGAAAAGGTAGCTGTTAAATACATACTACTTGGGCATCTTTTCAACTGGATTTAGAAAAGCCACTTCAGAGACATGTTGTAGGCAGAAGGCCGATTAGCAGCTGCTGATGGTGGGGACTTATCAGTAACTATACATTGCCTTTCTCACAAAAAATGACACTCAAAGTGACTAATTATCAGATGAAAAAAATACAAATGGTTTTATTATACAATTATACAGAGCAGATTAATTAAAGCAAACCAATTTAAAAGCAGTTCAAAGCAAACCAATTCAAGCAAATAAAAAAGGGAGCAAAAGGCAGCACACCTGGGGGTTTAACCCTCTTTTTCACAGCAACCCCAACAAATCTCTAAGTTTGACCTGAGTCCATAGTTTAGTGGCAGTGCATATACTTTGCAGGTAAATGGAATCGGATCCAAATCCTAACCCTTTCCAAATCGGGTAGAAAAATGCTTTCCTGAATTCCTGAATAGGTACAGCTGATCAGTTTTGACTACGCGGGTCCAGAGGCTGTAAATGGCAGCATACCATATTCCCAGATGACTAAGGCCTTCCTAAATTAAGAAGTCTTTATCAGAAAAAGAATCACCCTCGTCTTGCCTCTTGCAATGGGTTTCAGATCCTTGGGACCACCCAACAACAATTTCCTGTGAAATTCTCCAATTCCACGAACATCCTTTTTGAATCTTTTGTAAGTGTTGTCCTTTTTTCAGTCTTCAGATTTCAGGATTATAAGGGGAAAAAATCATAATAGATCTTGCAGAGCTGAAGGGTTTTCCCCATGGCAGCACTAAAGAAAGAATAGAAGGCTCAGCTTTCCTTGAATGCAGTTTGTCTGGAATGCATGATACAACGTGTTGACTGTCAGTTGCCTACAAAGCTCCCAGTTGAAGCCTCAGGTTTTAAGATCAGGATGGGCTGCTGTCCATTACTAAAGGTACTGAAAATAGGTTTTTTAACTATTTGTCCCACACTTGCCAGGTTTCATCTGGAGTGTAGAGAAACTTTTTGGATCACAACTCCCAGACTCACTAAGATGCTGGCTGAAGAATCATTTTTCCAAGCTGTTGCTTCATTACAGGCTGAGATAGTGAACAAGATGTCCCAGAAGACTGTACACACATGTTGTACATTGGGATTCATGTATACTATATATAAAAAAGGGGAGACTGAAGTCCCAGGAAGTAAAACAAAATGCCCAGTACAAAATGCTCAGTGCATTTCGGCTTATCAGCCTTCTTCAAGGGCTATATAAAATTAAAAGAAATACAATTACAGCATTATAACTTGCTGGGGACAACATCATATTAATAAATTCATATGTCCATAATTCTACAGCACATCCATATTTTTAAATGTATTCTTATGTTAATAATATTCTTGTCTAGAGTATTTCATCAATATGCTAAAATTAGGATAGGACTGGACATTAAGAAACTTTTCATTTACTCTGTAGTCATAAATATTATCTATACATACTATGTTTATTAAACTCTAATTAGTTCTTCTTTATGTGCCAGCTCCATTAAATCATTAAATCTAACACAGAAGGGACAAAAGCCTATATATACATATTTTCAGGCTCATTAGAATTGATTTAATAGACCTAATAAGCAGAAAATAACTAGTTGGAGTTTAATAAACACAGTATATATAGATGATAGTTATGATATTTATGACTTGCTCATAATTCATTTATGAGTTAATTAAATATTCTTTTAATGCCCACCTAGTCTAGTTTAAGGGGTGTGTTAGCGCTGCAGGTTAAACTGCAGAAGCCTCTGTGCTGCAAGGTCAGAAGACCAGCAGTCATAAGATTGAATCCACGCAACGGAGTGAGCTCCTGTCGCTTGCCCCAGCTCCTGCCAACCCAGCAGTTTGAAAGCATGCAAATGCAAGTAGATAAATAGGTACTACCACTGTGGGAAGGCATTCTAGTTTAAGGGGTGTGTTAGCACTGCAGGTTAAACCGCAGAAGCCTCTGTGCTGCAAGGTCAGAAGACCAGCAGTCATAAGATTGAATCCACGCAACGGAGTGAGCTCCTGTCGCTTGCCCCAGCTCCTGCCAACCCAGCAGTTTGAAAGCATGCAAATGCAAGTAGATAAATAGGTACTACCACTGTGGGAAGGCAACAGCATTCCCTGTCTAGTCGCACTGGCGACATGACCACAGAAACTGTATATGGACAAACGCTGGCTCTACGGCTTGGAGACGGGGATGAGCACCGCGCCCTAGAGTTGCACATGACTGGACTAAATGTCAAGGGGAACCTTTACCTTTATTCTAGTTTAACATATTGATGCAATACTCTAGACAAGAATATTATTACTCAATATAAGAACACAGTTTAAAAATATTATGGATGTGCTGTAGAACGATGGATATGTGAATTATTCATATGATGTTTTCCCCGGTTTATCATAATGTTGTAATTGTAATTATTTTTATGTAATGGATATTATCATAATGTTGTAATTCTAATTATTTTTATATTATATAGCCTTGAAGAACAGTTACAAAAATCAAGGGCCTTTAATACTGTGACATCACACCTACACTTGAAAAACAGTTACAAAAATCAAGAGCCTTTAATACTGTGACATCACACCTACACAATGTAATGGAATACTGTTGATCATTTTTAATTGTGTTCATGCAGTGGCGGCTGGCGAGTCCAATTTTGAAATCACTCCGGGTTGTTGTCTGCACTTTACTGGCATTATCCAACATGCTGAGCCTGTTTCAGGGATAGCGTTCAACACCTTGGGGAAAAAAACACAGTTTGCTCTCCTTGATTTGGGTAATCTATGCACCTGTCAACGTGATGTTGAGCATATTTTTTTACTAGAACAAGGGGGGGGGGAATGTATTACCGCTTGGTGGCAGTAAAAACTCAGTACAGAACTTTTGCGAGGAAAACACGAAGCCCAAACTTTCCCCCTCAAGTTTTATCCTCTTTGAGTAAAATGAATCTACAAATAACAATTTTTCTGCTTCATCCCCAAAACAGGAGATGCAAGACTAGAAAACACACTCGGTGTATTTGATGAAGTGAGAGATAGGAATGGAAACCAAAACAAGCAATAACAATTGAAAGAAATGAACGAATGAACCAGAAACCTGGATGTCAACAGGTTTCTAGTTCATTCATTCATTCGTTTGTTTAAGTTTGTTATTGCTTGTTTTGGTTCCCATTCTTGATGCAACAGACAAATAGCTGTCTCTCTGTAAGTTACCTCCTTAAGGGCAATGCCCCCCGTGCCCCATGATGTAGGTTGCATTCCCCAAATAATGTGCCCTTATTAAGCCAACTGCTCTTCTTTTAACAAGCTTCCATGTTCCCAGCAGTTCTTCTACAACCCGTTTCAGAAAGTTCAAAGAAAAGCCAAGTTTGAGAACTTGATAGGCTATATGAGTAATATAGCCAAGGAGTTACTGCCCAACCCTAAATACATAGGAATGGACTCAGAAATGGTGATCTGGTGGTGTTAAGGCACGATCAGAGATCAAAGGGAACACAACAAAGTGGATCAAGACAAATCCATTACTTCATCTTGGGATTGCTTTTTGAAGATGAAAGAAGGTGATCCAAAGAGAGTTAACACAGCTCTTTGAAGCTGCGGAATACCTTGATAGGAGATGATGGCTGCAATCCTATGCACACTTACCTATGAGTAAATGCCCCTGAGCTCAATAGGTTTAATCTTAAGTAGCCCTTGATTGGACTGCATTCAGCAAAGGATCTTTCTTATCTAGAGTAGCACTGGGAAGAGAAGAAACAGAATACTGTACAAAAGGGCATCATTCAAATCTCCCACAGTTACTATGATTAAAAGAGTTACCCCTTTTAAGTTATGTTGCTCTGTTTTTTTAATAACTGCTGGGTGAACTGACCTTGAAAATCTATGCAGAGTTTGAGGCTGTGCTGTATTGCTTGGGGGGGGGGGAGTAGATTTCAGTTAGGGGACACTGGGGTGCAAGCATTGCTCTAAGGGCTACAAAATTAATTGCCATTTCTTTTAAGTGATTAGTACTATTTATATTCCTTAGTAAATCTATAAATCTTAGGGCCAGCCAACTTCACAAATGTTCCGACTAATTCCCCCTATGCATTTATCTAAATTCTACAGGGTTACGATACTCTAGAAAACATACCAGAATAAAACCAATATCATTTAGGAATGGGGGAGAGGGGAGAGGCAGGGTGATAGACTGAAAGCTAGAATTCCACTATTTAGGTACTCATTTTGCATTTTAAAACTGGGATATTTATAAACCACTTGTTCTTCAAAGACTCCAGGGTTATCAGGAACTAGAACTGTAACTGTCTAGTCCAAGAGCAAAATAAAGGCTGTGATCACAATGATAATGATCAAATAAAAGGGTATGATTGTAAAGCATTATAGAAGAACAGTATACTGTACATTCATAAATCAACATTAAAGGGCATTTAAAACATTGTAAGACAAACTGTGTTTTTATTGTTTTTTTACAACTCAAAAAGTCCAAGCAAATAGACAGGCTTGGAACTGGTGAAGAAATAATACAATGAGTTGAGCTCCAGCTGTATGTCTACAAGAAACATTTCCCAAGATCTGAGAACCTGGGGAAAGGACGATGCACAGCCTGAAGAAGTGGGATTTGACCCACAAAAGCTTGCAATTTGTGTGACTTTTAAAGTGGTTCAATAAATATATCACCTAATTCTTGCATTTGCAGAATCTTAGAGTTATAGCACAATTGCTCTACACAGAGGAATCCTTACAAAACTTTGGACAAATCACACAGAAAGAAACCACAGCTGTCCTATAGAGCTGCAGGATTTCACCCTGCGTGTCCTTCTGAAGAACTGGCTTGTATTGGCCGCAGTTATGTATTTGCCACATTTCTATCCCACCTTTCCTCCAAGGAGCTGAAACCCACATAAATGGATGGACCTTCCTCTCCTTTACCCACATAACAGCTCTGCAAGTGAGGACAGGCTGAGAGCGAGGCACTGACCCATAGATGAGCCAGGATTCCAACCTGGGGCTCTTCAGTTATAGCCTCCTATTCTAACCCCCCTGCTGGGGCTCTAACTTATTTTGAAAGGTATCAAAACAAACAAATGAACAAACACAAGCGCTTGTGGCACTTTTCATAATAACCTCTTTCTTCCAGTGGGCGCATTCTCCGATCCCCATCCAACACAAGTTGGAGCATCCAGAGGTACTTCTACACAAATAATATTATTTCAGAGATTTGGAAAAAATAATGTTGAGGGAAATGCCGAACAGATTTTTCCAATCACTGGGAGATTCCGGGAAGTGTGTTTTCCTTGCTTTTCTTGTTTAAATAACATTTTCAACAGCGCTGCGCTCTTTCCCAGGATAGTTTGTGTTCTGACATGACACAGAAAATCCCATAGTTTCCTTTTTCAGAAATTAAGTCACTGGTGTCCCAATCAAGTAGAGGATCTTTGGGAGAGATGCTGAGCGGCTTCCTCAGCACTAGAACGTAACACATACACACATGCCTGGGAAGGAGCACACATGAAAAGAAAGGCAGGTAAAAACAAGGAATCACAATTAATCCTGCAAACTGCCTGGAAAAGGATATATTGAAGGGTGGGGCTGTTAGTAGAATAACTTACTGGACTACTCTGTGCTTCTGACACAGCACAGGACAAGGTTTTTAAACTATTTCAAATGGCGAAAAGTCAAGTTTATTGCAAATGTTTCAACATGGCCATTGCGCTCAAGAGTAGTAAAATAACTTACTGGACTACTCCGTGCTTCTGACACAGCACAGGACAAGGTTTTTAAACTACTTCAAAGGGCGAAAAGTCAAGTCAAGGTTATTGCAAATGTTTCAACATGGCCATTGCGCTCAAGAGTAGTATCTTCTGCATCCTGTCCTGAGATCCTCGGATATGGGAGTATTTTAAGAAACGAACTAGATTAGATGAAACGGACTGCTTTCCCTGCAAGAGCGCCCACTTCCACACACCACCCGCTTCCCAGATTAGAAGCCGTCGGGGGGCGGGGGGGTAGCCAAGCTGTTCCGCTGCCACCCAGGAGCGTGTCAAAGACCAAGGTATCAGAGCATCCTTGGCTGGGATGGAACAGCGGGGGTGGGGGTGGGGGGTCACACCTATCAGGAGGATCTGGCTATCTTCAAGTACCTGTGAAACAATTGCTTTGTTCGCATTTCACTCGAGGCTGATGAAGATTGGGAGATGGGTAATTAATTGCCTGCTCTAGGGGTGTCCTTCTCCCTACCTCACTGGAGGAGGGGGGGTTGCATGAGAATAGGCACCGTGCGGGCCACGCCGGAAAGTTTGACAGCTTGTTGACTTCAAAGGCTGACCAGATGAGGCTGCGGGGAGGTATAAAAAGCGCCCGTCCCGGGCCGGCGGAGAGGACGCGGAGGTCGCCCGGCGGAAAGAAGGGGCCGACGAGCGACGATCCAGAAAGGGTCCCGATCGGGAGGAAGGCGGGAAGGAAACGAGGACGGGCAGCGAGAGAGGGGGAAAAAAACCCACAAAAGAGAGACTCAGAGGAAAGAGAGACGGGAGGAGAGCGCCAAGGGCAGAGGCCCGGAGGAGCAATCACTTATGCTATTTTTTTAAAAAAGGGGAAATTTAAGAGAAGGGTGGAAGAACCAGAAAGCCTGGATTAAAAGACAGTCGGACAAACCGAGTAACTTTAATTTGGAAGAGAGGGAAAGAAAGAAAGAATTTGGGGGAAGAAAAGAAGGGTCAAAAACGGAGAGTGGGAAGAGTTAGATAATTCGAAGAAAGAAAGAAAGAAAGAAAGAAAGAAAGAAAGAAAGAAAGAAAGAAAGAAAGAAAGAAAGAAAGAAAGAAAGAAAGAAAGAAAGAAAGAAAGAAAGAAGTTCGGGAGTGGGAGCACCGGAGAGGGACCCGGCCAGAGGGGGACCCGAGGAAGGGAGGCAAGGGCGCGCGGGCGCGTCGGTCTCCCATGATGCACCTCTATCGCTCGCTGGCGCGCGGCCGCTCCCCGGCCCGGCCGGCCCCCGAAGGCTCGGCGTGGCGCGAAGCCGACACCATCCTCAGCCTGGTGGCCAAAAGTAAGTCCGCGGGTGGGCAGGCGGGCGGGCGGCTGGCTTGGCTCTCTCTCCCCCCCCATCCCTTCTTCCCTCCCCCCTTTCTGGGCTTCATTTCCCACGAGATCGTTTCTGGGGCGAAGTCTTGGCCGGAGGAGCGGCGCGGGCTGCGCGGGGCGGAAGGTGCGCGGAGCAGCCCTCCTGCCGGACAGA